TTGACAGATTTTAACTTTTTGAAGTGAAAAATGGACATAATACAAAAAATATAAAGAAACTATTCACTTAAAAAATAAGTTTACGAGTTAGCACCTTCTTTAAAGTTATAGCACAATTTCTAAAATAACCTTCCAAAAATGTATGTACATTGTGAATATGGTGTATATGTGTATAATGATGAACACTGAAACAGTGCTCCCTATAACTCACTGAATCTGTTTGATAACTCTAGGAAGTAGGTGATATTATCATTGCCATTTATTATTCCCAAGAAACTGAGACAGAAATCGATCTTATGTCCTTATATATGCCCAGACCACCCCAAAATATAAATGGAAACATCATTGGCTATTCTTTTTTTTTGAGACAGAGTCTCACTATGTGGCCCTCAATAGAATGCCATGGTGTCACAGCTCACAGCAACCTCAAAATCTTGGGCTTAAGTGATTTTCTTGCCTCAGCCTCCCAAGTAGCTGGGGCTACAGCCACCTGCAATAATGCCTGGCTATTTTTTGGTTGCAGTTGTCACCTTCAGTGTATGTGGCCAGTGCTCTACTCAGTGAGGTACAGGTGCCAAGCCCATAAGCTGTTCTTACTTTCACTTATTCTATCTGAGCGATCATCCTATATCATAATACATAAATTATATTGTCCTTTTTACAACTTTGAGTATTCCATCTTATGTTTCTACCTTTATGTAATAAGCTCCCTACTAAATATTTTGGGACGGCTCCAATCTATAGTTAGAAATAAAGCTACGATGATCATCCTTTTTAAGGGCATCATATAAGGAATGGTAATAATTTCAGATTATTTTTCATTTTATAGCTTGGGTTACATTCAAGTTACATAATAAAGCATTAACAGCTTTTCCCATTAGGAATTAAGCACAACTTTCTACGCTGATTTTAATTTTAAAAAATTTCTCTATTTAAATACTTCTGATAAATTCCCATCTCTTTTACCATAATCTTAAAAATTAAGATAAGTTTGTACATAAGTGTTTAAATGAAATATTTAAGAAGCACAACTGAATTAATGTATCCAAATAATATTTTTGTCTAAGTTTGCATGGCATCTCAGAATTTCATTAAAATTATCTTAAGCTTCCTTTCCTTTTGAATAAGCTAAAAAAAATTATATTAAGCTGACTTAAGAGGAGTATAATAATTTTGCTTATTAATCAGAATCCAGAGGTTTCAGAATGTAGACATCAATTATATCCATATGAAAAACTAGTTTTGGTGGCTTGGCGCCTGTGGCTCAAGTGGCTAAGTTGCCAGCCACATACACCTGAGCTGGCAGGTTCGAATCCAGCCCAGGCCACCAAACAACAATGTCGGCTGCAATGAAATATAGCCAAAATAGCCAGGCACTGTGGCAGGTGCCTGTAGTCCCAGCTACTTGGGAGGCGGAGGCAGGAGAATTGCTTGAGCCCAGGAGTTGGAGGTTGCTGTGAGCTGTGATGCCATGGCTTGAGGCTCTGTCTCCAATTAGAAAAAAAAAGAAGAAGAAGAAAAGGAAAAACTAGTTTTGTTATCTACCATTTTATCTGTCACCCAGTTACATAAAACAAACATAGAACCTGGTACGATTCAAGACTAGTTAAGTGACCCAAGAAATAGAAAAATGAATAAGAGAATAAGAATGCAAAAAGTTCCTTTCATTAATTAAAGTTTGTATAAAGATCACAAAAGAGAAAGACAGACGTGTAAGATTTGTCCCAGACTACATTACTCTTTTATGAGCCTTCAGCTTCCAGGGTAAGAGAAGACTTTCATTAAACTTTAGGCTTTCATTAAACTGAATCTGTTTGATAACTCTAGGAAGTAGGTGATATTATCATTCCCATTTATTATTCCCAAGAAACTGAGACAGAAATCTCTTACCTCCAGGGTAAGAGAAGACTTTCATTAAACTTTAGGGCGACTGTTTCAGAGTTAAATAATTCACAAGTATAGCTGCATCAAACCCTATATTCAGCATTCATGAAATGCTATGCGTGGAAGGATTTTAGGCATTCACCTATGTTAACCAATATTAGTTTTTAAATGAGAAAAACGTCTCAGAAGCCTACATAAATAGCTAAATCAACTAAAATCCAGGTATGTTACACCCAGTAAGAAGTCTTTCCATTGGATCACTCTTGAACTTTAGATTACATTTTCTCGTTTGAAGCTCCCACAGTTTAAGCAGCCATGTGACAACCCTGAGTTCTCAAAGCATCACATAAAAGAATGGCACTGATGGATTCACAAGACAACCTATAAAACTCTGTATTTGGTTTGAAGATACTGCTAAAGGAGTTAATTGTCTGGTATATGAAAACCTTACTAGTTAATCATGGCAATGCATATGAAAAATTATAACTATGCAATCAATAACAGTTTGTCACAAATGAACAAGTTCATGGGAAAGAGGTAATACACTTTAAAGGACAATTTGGCACAGTCTATTTAACACAAGAGTTTATGCTCAGCAAAATCAATTTTGGTGCCTGTGTTAAAGAAAACATTGGCACATTAAGTATGAGCAGGTAGAAAGATGTTTACCCCATTAATATTCAATATTAAGAAAAGGAAAAACATGGAGACAAACGTCCACCATCAGGGGAATGAGTAATAAAATGCGGCACACCAAGACAATGGGACACTACAGTCATTCCATGAAGGAACCCAGGACCCCACACGCCAACCCAAAGGTCATGAAAACACAGAGCTTGAGTGGAAAAAAGCAAGACGCAGAGTGACACCTCTGAGGTAAAATAAAAACTAAACTAATAAAGAAACCCCAGACTCACAATATAAGAACATACTTTTTATAGATTTGTTTAAGTATTTTTGTGTGTGTGTTTAAGTATTTTTAAAGTATTACACACACATCAAACTCCTTACCTTTTGGAAAACAAAGGACAGAATTCCAAGTAAGATTTATAATCAAATTTTCGTTTTTTATCTATAATGTTCTACTATTTGCAAAACTAAAAATTGAAAAAAGCAATCATCCAGGTAACAATGTAGATTATTTTAAAATTTAAATGCAAGAGAATTATCAGTGCAGATGTCAATACTATTTTAATGTTCTAATTTTTAAGAGCAAGGCTTTCTTTTTATTGCCCAAGCTGGAATGTCATGGCATCAGCCTAGCTCATAGCAACCTCAAACTCTAGTTTTAAGAAATCTTTCTGTCTCAGTCTCCCGAATAGCTGGGACTACAGGTGCCCAAGATAATTTTCTATGTTTAGTAGAGATAGGCGTCTTACTCTTTCAGTCTGGAACTCCTGCCCTCAGGGGATACTCCCACCTTGGCCCTCCTAGAGTGCTAGGATTATAGGTGTGAGTCACTGTGCCTGGCCAGGAAGGCTTTCTTTATTTATGTATTATTTCTATAATTAAGATACAAGCAAAATGAGAGAGGCAATAGCAGGTAACTATTAATTAAAGGCCATATATATATATATATTTTTTTTTTTTTTGAGACAAGAGTCTCACTTGTCACCCACAGTAGAGTGCCCTGGAGTCATAGCTCACAGCAATCTCTTAACTCTTGGGCTCAAGCAATTATCTTGTCTTGGCCTACCGAGTAGCTGGGACTACTGGCACCTGCCATAACGCCCACCTATTTTTAGAGATGAGGTCTTGTTCTTGCTCAGGCTGATCTTGAGCCTGTGAGCTCAGGCAATCCACCCACCTTGGCCTCCCAGAGTGCTAGGATTACAAGTGTGAGTCACCCTGCCCAACCTAAGACCACAATTGTTAAGGTTTTTTTCAAGTATAAGAAAAATCACCTGAGGCCAGTCCCAGTGGCTCATGTCTGTAATTCTAGCACTCTGAGAGGCCAGGGAGGAAAGATCTCTTGAGTTCAGGAGTTTGAGACCAGCCTGAAAGGGCAAGACACCTGTCTCTACTAAAAATAGAAAAAAATTATCTGGGCATTGTGGTGGGCACCTGTAGTCCCAGCTACTTGGGAGGTTGAAGCAAAAGGATGGCTTGAATGCAGGAGTCTGAGGTGGCTGTGACTGAGACTGACACCATGGCACTAAGGCCCAGTGAGACTCTGTTTCAAAAAATAAAAGAAGAAAAATCATCTTACTAATGGCAGAGAATGGACTAAACTAGACTTCCTAAGATTCTTTCAAAGGTACTAATTCTATAAGTAATTTTCTTTCTTTTTTTTTTTTTTT